TCTCGTTGGTGGCGCTGTCCAGAATGAGAAAAATAATAACAAATAAGGGACTTGTGGCAAGTCAAACTAGTACCAGGTTCTGATGTATTTTTGTCACAGGTCATTCAATTTTTTGTAAACATTTCACTCAAGCAGCCTCCTCTTTCAGTAACTATTATGCATTGTAATTATTGTAACTATAGGTTACAGACCTAGATCATTGTTAGCCCAAGCAAATGAAGCATAGAGCTAACAGACTATAGAGGAGGCTATGACCTATGTAATCTCATCTCTACGTAGTTTCTATCCCTCCGCCATTAGGGCATTGAACAAGTCACTTCAGTAGTTTGAATTTTCGTATTTTATGTTTGTTTTTTTGTTAGGGAACCAGACCGAATTTCATTGTATGTGTATTGTACATGTATATATGACAAATAAATCTATTGAGTATTGAGTATTGAGTAATACCCTATACATTGAGTGATAGTTCAATGTTCACTTATTTGTACTTTCAGACAATTCAAAAGATATGTGAATGCTCAGAGCTAGCATAAAAGAATAATAAAATTATTCTATTAATGAAGAGCTGTTTTTAAATAGAAATTTATGGCATAATGTGTGTTATCAAGTATATATTCCTATCGAGAAACCTTCGTCTACACATGAGCGATTAGAAACCTTGCTACTGTAATTGTAATATACGTTGTAGGTGAATATACAGTAAGCTGGGGGGGACACATGATAACATTTTCCTGGCATGGGAGGCATGTAACATTTTTTCTTGTGTGAATCAGTGAAATTTGGTTTTGGATTTAATTCTATTTTTCTGCATGTTATTGTTAAATATAAATTGCTTATTTTATTATGAGATTACTGAAAGCATGCAAACCAACAATGGGAACATAAATGTCTGATAATGACATTTAAATGCTTATCAGGCACTGTTCCAGAATGCAACTTTTTATGAATTAATCATAACATAAATACAAGAAGTAAATTGAAAAACACTTTGTTTAAATATAACTCAGTTAAAGTATGGAACAATTCATCAGATACTCATAGCAATATTCATTCTTTTTCCTTACAATCCTTTAAAAATCCTATTTAATTTTCAATTTGTTTTTGTTTTCTGTTTCTTGTATTTTTGTAATTTATATTTATATACATTTTTCTTTTAATTTTGTTTTTGTAATTTAATATAGTTTAAGGATCATACCCTGGACCTCAGGGAAGAACAGTGTACTACACTAACTGAGCATCAAGAATAAAGAAAGATTTCTATCTATGATTTTTTTTTTTCAATTATTATTAGTTTTATGGTAGTTTTTAAACTGATTGGTCCTTGTTAATCTTTTGATATTTAAGTCTATTTTTACCAGTGATTTCACAAAGAATGTTCAATTTTGTAATTGTATTTTATATAAACCAATGAAATCAAATCAAATCATGTCAACTTGAACTTGAATCAGCATTACTTGAGCAATTGTGTCTGCAGACAAAAAGTCTGTCTTATTTAAGGATTTGATCAACAAGATTTTGTAAAGAATCTTTAATTAATCTATTGTAATTCAGTTTTTTCAGACTAGGTCACAATCAGATAAATCCTGTGGGAATGGTGCTGTTCTTCCTGAAACCATTTAAAGCCGGTTCTACACTAGACGAATTTATTCGCGCAAATCAAAAGCGTCGGTTCATATCCTGAGCTTTGATTGGTTGCACATTTTTTCGCTTCGCAAAAAGTAGAAACAGTTTGAACTACTGATTTTACCTAAGCGAAAAACTCCGAAAAAGGAATGCTTTTTGGTTGTAAAGCTGGCTTGAGGGATAGAATACAAGCCCAATCACACTTATTATATCAGCCCATGGCCACCTTAACCACCGCCAACTCAAAACTACCGTATGGTTCACAGTTTGTATTTTAAGTCGTCCCAGGTTCGCACTGCGAACACTCACACTTCCTCTTTGCATCAGGTTTTTCTTAAAATGTTATGATATAAAATGTCAACATTGACCGCTATCAAGGCAACCTTTGCAACCCTGGTTCAATTTTGGTCATATTTGGACCAGCTTAAAATTCAATGATTGTTCACACTGGCCAAAAGGGTCCTGAGCGGACGTAACTGGGCATAGCTGGGCTCAAGATGAAATGAAGCATTCTCTGTGAACCCACAAATTAAAAGTTATACATCTTCTGGATGAAAAACCAAAGAGTGTTTTTGAAAACTTACAGCAATTAAATTCATCTGAAATATCTACACAATCGTATTGACCATCGCAACGGTATTCAATTCTAATACACTCGCCACTTCCACATGCAAAACGTGTAGATCCGCACTCTTCTGGGCCTACAATATATATATAAAAAAAAATTTAAAAAAAGATTTGACACAGATGAATCAATCAAATGTTGTATAATAAATGCAAAAATCTTTATTGAACATCTTCAGGAAGAAAACTTTCTACACTACTCTTATCTTCTATTGAATTTAGTATGTCATGCACAAGAAAATGTCTGAAGAAAAATTGTATGTAAGAAATGGGGAAATATCGTTCAAATTGTCTGAAGATTAGATGAATTAAAGGTCAAGGGTTAGTGATATAAATCAGTGCATTAAATGGCTTTCTATTTGAAGAAATGACCTGTACTCCAATACAACTTTTGACAACGAGATTAAGATCACCAGCATCATGTCCAATTTGAAGGGCATGCTTCTTGGAAGTCAAGTGTCAATAAAGATATAAGTTATGTGCAAGTGCATTTGGTGAATTGCGGTTAAGATTTTTGTCGCACCATTCTTTGTACTTCATATTCTCAAGTCCACTCATACGGTCAAAAGGAGAATGGTTTGTGGAAAGAGTACTTTGTTCTGTCAAACTCTGGAATAACCTTCCATCAGGTATTAGCAGTTATGCTATTAATTTTCACGCTTTCAAAAGCATGCTTTGATCAAATTTGTTTCCTTTTTGTACAAATGGGCGTGTGTATATATATTTCCATTAACTTATTTCCTAATATATATTATTTAGAAGCTGTTTTTACCTGGCTTTCAAGAAAGAACAACATCCTGACATAAAATGATTATTCAGAATAATGAAAGGTTTCTATTGAACTTTGCTGTGGCTGAGGGTCGGCAGATAATCCGCTCAGACTACTACTGACATTTACTCAGGTGTAAGCGCCCATACAGAGTGAACAATGGAGTGGGCAACTTTATTCTATTAACTGAACTGTTAAGCCAGGTAGACTGGGTTGAAATCTAAACCTAGATTATAATGAAAAGTTGTATATCTTTTAATATTCCTAATGGAAATACAGTTTTTTTTTCATACCAAATTAAATTTCAAAGGCCAGGAATACATTTTCCAGGGCTTTTGGAAGTCAAACAATACTATTCCGTAGACAGATATGTTTGATCAAACAATGACTGCTGAGTGCAGTGTCCAATTGATATAAAGAGCTGATGGGAATGGGGGTAAGGGGAGCTACCTGAGGGAATGAAGAAATATGAGGGAATAATGCTTAAGTGTAATTTATTATTTATTTATTTTAACCCTTCCCTTTTTCTTTTGAGTTTATGGGCCAACTATATTTGGATGTGCTAGCCCTAGACAGATGTGAACTACTCATTCCTACAAATTACTACTCCTTAAATGGTCCCATCGTGTCATGCTGCAACATGGTGCACTCTAGTCCATAAAGACGGGGGATATGAAATGTACTATCATACTGGGGTAAACCCCTTTCTCATCTCAAGAGCTGTTCTGGGTCCTTTTAAGTACACACGAGTGTACAATAGATATGCTACTGGTTCAATATGTTAAAGTTTCTTAACTCAGCACTATTAACATTATATTTAAACACTATTTATATAACTGAAGTCAAGTCAACACTTACTGCAATTCATCTCATCTGAACCATCTTGACAATGATTGATGATATCACAACGAAGCGTCCTGTTAATACACTGCTGCCCATCAAAGCACCGGAACTCATCACTCGTACACGCTGGATAAACAAAACAAAGAATAAGATTGTCATGATGATATTAATATGACAAGTAAACAAATACCCCCTTCACCTCCACAAAAAACATTCACCTTATACTAATAAACATTCATCATCATTTGACAGCATACTGTTGGAATGACACAATATAAATATAAACAGATTGAAGTATAAATTTTAAACATTATTGTCTGTGTGCACATCAGTATCAGTGTTTTCAGACGACAATCATTAACGTTAATAATGTTCAAATGTTTTCACTACAATTAATTTTATATATTATAGTATATATTATTTAATAAGTAGTACTTCAAAAAATAAATAAATATACTGTGTACTCAGTGGGAGGTCCAGGAATTCTAAATAGAGGGGATCCAGAAAGTCAGCCTGACAGATGGAGGGTCCACACCACATTAGCACCACCATGGTTGGGTTGAGTTACAAACTTTTGTGTTTATGGCATGATTGATATGATTTTCTTAAATTATCACAATTTAGAGGGGGCATGGGACAACTGGGTCCCTCAAATTCGCTTAAATGTTAATATTTCATAATTGGTAGATCTCCATATTCAAATGATGGGTTTTTCTTAAGAACAATCCTCCCGTGTTGGTCGTGTCATGGAGGTATTAAACAGATGTTTAATACCTCCATGGTCATATGAAAGAGGGACACGGAACTGGAACAGTTTCAAATATTTTGGTTGCACTATTTTATATTCATTGCCTTAGTTATGGCTATGGTTACCCAACACTATCTGACCTCCGTCTTCATGCAGATCTTTGTCAACCATGGATACTATAATACAAACCCACCATAAAATTATTGTTCTGCATGGTCCAATGGCTGGGCAGCTTTTTATTTGTAATTGCTACAGTACATCACAATAATAGATGCTAATATACATATCTTCACATTAAAGATTATCATAATTGTTGTTGAGAAATGAAGCAAGTATGGTGGTAGGTTGGTTTGCCAGACTAAAGTGGAATTATGATTGCGAGTCAAAATAGAATAAAATATTTGACAGTGCTTTTAGGCAAATTGAAAAAAAAAATAGTTTCTCGTCTTAATATTTTGAAAAAAGAAGAATGAGGGCAGTTTTTCTTCTCTTTTTCTTTTACTCCAAAATGGCAAATCCAAGATGGCTGATGGGAAACAGCTACTACTTTCTCACTTTTACCAAGTAGACACATTGAAAACAAATAAAGAAGTACTAGATATGGTTCATACCATATGTTTCCCCAACTACGACCACTTGAGAGAGAAATTTTACTGATGTGAGTTAGCCAGATTTTTCATACATTTTTAAACTAAAGGAAATAAACCAAAAAAAAAAATGGTGAGGCAGAGAAAATGGATACCTCCATGCTCAAGGGGACAAGAACTACTAATTTTTTATATTTCCGCTTAACTCTCTAGATCTTCATTGCAGAAGAAAACAGCCCTTGTTGTCTAAGATTTCTAAGGAGCTTTGGCAAGCATTTCTCTCTAAAAAAACAAATTAATGAGATTTCACAGAATATAGTTGCAACAGTGATTTTTGTCACTTTAGCTAACATTTTTTTTTGAAAATAACTATAAATAAAAAGAATTGTTTCTTATTCATATATATATATACTAGTAAAAGGAAACTGTTTGAGAAAAACAACAGATTTCTAAAATTCCAAATGTTTGTTTATGCTTAAGATCCTGCTATTGGAAAAGCATTGTAAGCAAATATGTATCATTTTACGCATTTGCTGACCTGGAAAATGTATTTTGCAACAAAATCAAAAGGCTGAAGACTTGTTGCATACATGCTCCTTCATTTTACAAATTAGCAAAATGTTTTGCATGGCTTCCAACCCAAGGAAGGGGATACTGGGAGAGTCCACAACTTGCACTCCTAAACCCATCAGGGTTCAACCCACTGGACCCAAATGGCCTTCACTAGGCAGCACCCCCTCCTCTGAATGTACTATCTTTGAGCCACATTTTCAGACTCACAATAATCAGGTTTGAGATGATATTTCTCAGAATTGCACTGTCGTCAGACTTGAAAAATAAATCGTCTTTAATATTTCATTCATTCAGTATGATAGAAATATTACAAATTATCAAATTAGAATGACCAGAAAAAATTATATAAAAAACTCTACATGCAAAATTACAGCAAAAAAAATGGCCCTTGTATAATGCCAAATAAAATTCATTGTTAGTTTCACGTCAGGGATTTGAAATTATTTTTTGGTGAGGGTATTTACTATCCTATATACTAATGGTAAACAGGCTGGTAAATATTAAATAGTTTTTGTTTTGTTTTGGTTTTTTTTTTAAAGAAGTGAAATGAATCTTTGTAATTTATATCTGCCATTTATGTTCCTACCTCTTTTTAGGCTTGACATCATTCTTTCAGATACTGTAGTCATTATTTTTATTGTCCATGGAACAATGAATGTTTCTTTGAAAAATAGCAAATACGGTAGTAAACTTTGTCATGAGGCTCCAAAATTTGATGAGGGCGGAGACGTGAAACTAGAAATTAATTTTATTTGGCCTAAAATTTTTAAGGAGCTTTGGCTAGCATTTCTCTCTAAAAAAAAAATTAATGATATTTCACAGATAATAAAATACAGTAGTTTGCAATAGTGATTTAAAACATTTTAGCTAACATTTTATTAAAAATAACTATAAATACAAAGTATTACTTCATATTCACATACATAATACTAGTAAAATGAAATTGTTTAAGAAAAAAACTTTTTATATAGCCTATAGGACACTCTTCTAAACTTTATGGCCTGTGCCATCTGGTTTCCCAAGAGATTATGAAAAGGCATTGAGAAAAGTCACCTGAGCTGCCCAGGTAGGATTTATGCTGTATTTGGACAGGTTCAGGTATGTGCGGCCTTATAAAAGACTGTGTTACCATGGACACAAGTATCTTCAGTTGTATCCTTTGGACATTAACAGATTCTCAAGGATTAGAGTTTACACTTAAATAATATTTACTGTATGCACACTTGTACATCAAAGCAAACACACCTAAAGTGCACAGTAACCTTCTGGGCTTGACTTTATTTACAGTCTTTTTTTTTGTTAGCAAGTAAACTGAATTACTGCCCTCAAAAACAAGAAAGGCTATACATTATGTAATGAGGCATGAGCACAAAGCAGACAAGAGTCTCATGCTCTGGGTGATAAAAGCCCATCCCCTTTGAACACAAAATTGGGCCAATTTTTGGGGGTGGGCTTATAATACCGGGAAAATTTCCCTTTCTAATCAAATGGAAATTTCCAGCTTTGAATGCCTAATTCAAAACTAATATTTTTATAATATTTGCAAAATTCAGCTACACTCTTTTTTTTTTTTTTTACCAGTAAAATTTTGCCCAGGCTCTGTGTTCTTATTTTTTGACCAATTACAGACACAACATTTTTTTATTTTGTTCTCATTTTATGAACTTTTTAAATATAGAAAATTACTATTACTACTATACTGGAATGTAGGTACAGTTAAAAGGGCTATATAAAAATGGCCCCAGAAAAAAAGCCTGGTATAAAATGGCCCAAAATGACAAGTGCAACTGATACTATACACTTTTTTTTTATAAGAACACATTTCATAAGAACACTGAGGCTGAAATTGCTTAAAAATGAAGAACAACATAAGAACAAATTGAGGCTGAGGCAAAATGTCAAATGAGGTTTTTGAAAAACCATAATATTATATCTGTACCTTATGTGCAGTAATGTAGGTGTGACTATGTAATACCCCCTATAATCAAGTGTATTGTCATTTTGGGCTATTTTTACCAGGCCTTTTTTCTGGGGCAATTTTTCCAGGGCATTTTTTTCAGGGCCCATTTTTGCTGTACAATAATAATTTTCTATGTTTGAAAAGTGTGTAAAAAGAACAAATTAAGAACATTTTGAACCTGAAATTGGCCAAAAAATAAGAACACTGGGCCTGGGCAAAATTTTACTGGTTCTTATAAAAAAAAATGTGTATTGCAGAGGGTATTACATACAGTAGTCATACCTACTGCACCTAAGGAACAGGTATAATTTTTTGGTTTTTCTATTTAATTTTTTTAAAAATAAATAAAAACCTTGTTTGATATTTTGCCTCAGCCTCAATTTCTTCTTATTTTGTTCTTTAATTTTTAAGCAATATCAGCCTCAGTGTTCTTATAAAATGTGTACTTATTAAAAAAATGTATTTATACTCATTTAAAGTCATACCCTGGGCTTTTGCCCGAGGAAAAGCTGGTACATAAAAATGAGCATAAAGTTGGGGGTGGGCTAATACATGAGGTGGGATTATAACCAGGTAACTACTGTAATCATATAATCCACTGCATAAAATAGGAGCTTCCTTTCCAAAGCCCTTAAAATTAGCTAACTCAATTTAAGGGTTCTCATAGTAAAAAAAAAAAAAATCTGTAGTTTAGCGAAAACTGACCACCTCCCCAACGATCTGAATATTATCAGCGAAGGATTTTTTTTTTCTATTTAAGATACACAACCTTTTGTTAAACATGACTATCAGTAGATATAGATCTACAGTTCGTGTGGAAATATTATAGTGTGGAAATAAAGTAATTGGGTGAATAAGTTAAAACTTAAATTTACATTTTTCATTGTTTTCTAGATTTCACCAAAGATGGTATCTTTAAACTCACAATCAAGATATCAGAATAAATTGAATTATAAATATATTTCATATAATACATAGTTTATGTATTGAAATTCAACATTCCCTTTGATTGTAATTTGCTCATTTCAAAAATCCTATAAATCCCATTTAAATTTAATGTAGGCCTGCACTTTCTTAGGATATTCTTGCAACTTGAGAACTAACCGAGGAATGTCAGTTCAATAAAAGATAAAATAATCCTCATATTAAACTCTGTTTCTTACAAGGCCAAAATGCTTTCAGAAATGTTTTTATTTGTTTCCTTGTTTTAAGCCTTGTTTTGTAAAAATTTCAATGGTAATTCAATTGGCCTAAGTAA